GGCATTTCATGTTCAGCTCTTAACGCCAGCTGCCAGGAGCTAGAACAAGGTGCATGATGTCCTTCTACCCTCCTCTGGCTATCATGGGACCCACAACTCCCAGCTGCTCTCAGAATAAAATGAAGCCATGTCCCCTGGGGTTGCTAGGCTGCAAAGGACTTTTTAGGAAGGACTGGGTTTTTAGATGCTTACTGTTCATGGTCTTGGGACAAAAATGCCACTGACAAAGCTAATACTCCTGGCCTGCAGAGAACCATTCAGTCCATGTCAGGCAGCACTGGTATCACATTATCTTTAAACTTATTGCTCCAAGATACATTTACACTTCATTTTATCCTTTTAAAAAAAGAACATCAGCTCTCCTCAGTATTTCATCTTCTATATAGTTAGAGTGATAGGAAATTGCTACAATTATCTAGACAACTGACTCTGTAAAGCATAGATGGGTCCTATCTCTTGAGTCTCAAACATCTGATAGATGGCCTGAGGAAAGGATTAGGAGCCAGAACCAAATGAGTTCAGGCTCCAGTATTAACTCCATCTACACAAGGCGCTTATCCTCAAGTATGCCTTCATCTCTCCATCCAATAAGGAGGGAGCACTGTGCACCCTCCCAGCAATAGGTTATTAGGAATTGCTCTTCTACATGAAACGGTGTTGTTCAAGTGTAAAATATTTTCACAGAATCTTACCACATGCCCATATATCCACTGGTTTTCCGTAAGGGTCTTTTCTTAAGACTTCGGGAGAGAGGTAGCCTGGAGTGCCAGCAAACCCTGCCACGAAATGGATGACATGAAGTACTTACAGTACCTAAGCAGAAGAGATCTTGCCATATCACAAAATCTACTAGTGGTAATCAACAAATTCCAAAACCCATTTCCCATGCCTCATCTCACATTTGGTAGAGCTACCTCTTGGTAAACCAACAGAAAGAGAGAGGGGAAGAAAAAAAAAAGGAAATCAGATGGGATCGAGTGTCTATGCATTGCAGGAAAAACAGAAAAGAAAGAAGGGCCATGTCAACCAGCTGTGCACAAACTCATATGCCAGGCCTTATATCATTGTTACATATAAGGGTTTGGAGTTTGAAAACAAAAGACACAGATGGGACACATCCAATTGCCATAAGGTGTGGGCAGCCATCTCTCCAGAATCTCCACAGCACCGCAAAGTCTCAGAGCTGATGTTTTGCCTGAGAAGGTCTCATTTCTAATTATGTTTTAGCTAAACAAAGATAAGGCCAGATCCAATGTGCTCGAGGAAGGCCAAGTCAAATGCGTTTCTGTAAAATGACCAAAAAAAAATTCCAGATGTCTACACTCTTGAGCAGTAAGAAAGTTCAGATCAGGGTCTAAACTTAGCAGCTGCATTCATCTCCGACTACTGTAAAGCACCTACTGTAAACACAGAAGAAAAATAGAGAAATACATAGCTATTTTTTCTGTCTTTATTTATCATATTCTTTCCTCTATCGTACCTCAGCTCGTGCCCAAGGACCCAGAGGCTGAGATGCTTGGAGAGGAAGCAGCAACGCCAAATACACACAAGCGTGCTGGAAAAGCTGAGAGAAAGTACTCAGGCAGGGTGCAACTCAACCAACCACCAGGAAAGGGGGGAGCAAAAGTGGGAAAGCTCAAACACTCTTACCAAACCAGGCTTGCTGCTCTCCCTGGACTTCTATAGCCAGTCCGAAGTCAGCCAGTTTGACAGCAGCACCCTTACATTTACTTGCCAGTAGTAAATTCTCAGGCTGGGGAGAAGAAGAAAAAAGGGGGTAAGAAATAAAGACTAACATCCTTGTTAAAGCCTCCTGCCTCAGTATTCACATCATTAAATCGAATCTGCTGACTGAATTTGGCAGGCATGTACTAAAGCTGTTCAGGTGAAGGCAGAGCAACAGCAACAAATGGCCTTGACAGAGTGGCAGAAAATCCTCAAGTTTAACACAAATCCGCAGTGGGAGCCAGAGCCTCTCCCAACTCAGCCCATACGTTATGTGCTGACACCAGAGGGCACTGGCAGTACAGTTCCTGCAGCACAGAACCCAAAACTTGTTTCTGTCATCCCCGCAGAGAGTAATTGGGGTGGGGAGGGAAGGGGGGGCAAGATGCAGCAGATACAATCTGCAGTGATGCTTCTCCCCATGAGTATTACACAGTCCCCAAGGCACTGGAAAAGTAAATATGATGCTAGTAAGTACTGCCAAATACAGCACCCTAATGCGGGAAGGCATCATCTGGATAGGCAGTATCTTTCATCCCTTACAGAAAAAGCCTCAATCTCAAATTGGCATAAGCAGCACAGCAGTGAGTATTCTTGTAAGCTGTTTTGTCATGCTACATATTTACAGCAGTGTAAAATATGCTTTCTTGCTACTGCCACTGTCACCTATACAACAAGCAGCCATGTCACTTCCTCCATGTGCCAGGAAAGGGAGACAGACCTTTGCCACTCACATTTCCACCTCACGTGAATCTCACTCGAATCGTAATTCTGTGGTGTTCTAGCAGAGGACTTCAGCAGAAAGCTTAACACAGCTCCAAAAACTGTACTGAGAGTCAGCAGCTTCCTTTGAAGCACCAGAGCAGCTAGTTACATGGGACTCTGAAACCCCAAAGCCTTTAAGGTGGTGGCTATTCTAGCTCTGCAGGAAACCCAACTTGTAGACAGGCAGGACAAACGTGATTTCTCATCTTACCCGCTTCTGATCATTTATGCAATTCATATCAACTGAAGTTTTTAATTGAGCAAGATAGAAGCCTGGAAATCCAGCACAGGAGCTTGTCTCAGTTCACAAATCTGATGGTCTTTTTTGCAGCCTGCTCACCAGTTTCAACCCACGGCAACTCCCTATCCCTGTTCTGTCTGACAAGAACAAGATGCTTTGCTCATTCACCCGCCTTAAAGTACAGGGCATGTGCCCTGCTTCTGCTTTGAACAAAGGGAGAACAGCCTTGCCCATCACAGTCCTTGCCATAAGCAGCATGGAAGGAAGGGGAACTGGGTCTCAATACATTTGGATGCCACTGGCTTTTCACTACATGGGAAGTGTATTAATCAAGCTACACTGATGAAAATTCACCACTGTAACCAAGTCCCTAAAGCAGAAGACCAATGAAGTTTTCTGAAAACCCCTCCCAACTTCAGAACATACCTGGGTTTGGTTTGATTAAGACTTAAACAGTGAAATTTAGGCCAGGCTTGTGCTAGCTAAGCACTATTTGCTTCTAAAATACAGCTACAAACACCTTATGGTTAACGGTGCTTATTCACATGCATGTTTGCCAACATCTGGGTTGTCTCAGTTTTCACATACTTTTTGGTAAGTATAATCTTCAACATTTGAAGTTCTTTAAGAGCATGTCAGCCAGAAGACAGGCTTATGAAAGGGAGGTGCAAAAGACAAAACTTCACTTGAAGCAAGCTCTGCAGTTATTACACACTGATCCTTAAGGCCAAGCTTTTGGCAAGGAGTTAAATATTAAATAAAGAGCATGGGATTTTTTTATTGCTAAAAGGAATGGCTACTCCTCAGGCCTGGATAGTTTCAGTGAATCAGAGCAAGCAACAGAAGAAACACATTAACTACAGTGGGGAGTGTCTAGCAGCTGGTAAATTCTAAACAAGTTCACAACTTTCACACAAACAAAACTTGGGAAGCAAAGCAAATTATATCTGAACACTTGATGAGAAAGAAAACTTAAACCATCCTGTACTGGAAAACACTACTAACTTTCATAGAGGCCCTAATTTTGGGCAGTAATGCCTCTTGGAGGCTGCTTTCCCAAGAGCAGGTGTCAGCTCTAATCCAGAGCAGCCATTCCACAGAAGATCACTCACATCTTTTCACAGTGCTCTGAATTAGAAGGCCAAAAATGTTGCATGGGAGTTTGCCACAAACACTAAGGGTTAACAGCCATCCACTAGATCAAAACACCAGGGGAACACTGCTATCCAGCTTGCAACATGCTTTTACTTTGGTCTCTGCAAAATATTTTTATACTTTTCCCCTTATGCATTGTATAAGAAAGCAAAACCAACACTAGTAGCAGGTGTCATCCTGCATTAATCTAACTGGACCATTGGTGGCCATCACTACTCCCACTCTAGACAGAGAGGGCTGCAGGGCAGAGAGACCTTCCTGCACAAAACTCTTCATCCTGGAGCCTGCCCAGCTCCCAGTACAGCTGGCACTGCGTGGGAAGGGAGTTTAAGTAACTACACTGTAGGGGCTCTGGGTCTATAAATGTGTTATAATGTGGCAAACGGTTGATTCACCCAGTGTTTAACTGGCCAGCAGTTTTGGTTTTACATTAAAACCGCTTCTACTGATGAGAGAAGAAAGAAATGACACAAAAAATTCTTGTTGTGCATCTCTGCTCTAGGCCAATGGCATGTGTTTGGCAACAGTGCAGAACAAAAATATACATGCTCCGTGCAGACAAACTCATCCTGGCAGACTGAACAGAGATTGCCCCAGGTCTCTAGAGAGATCTTCAATGGCAGACTAAAAAGTGTCCTTCATTATAATGAATTCTACCCAAGTTTCTCTGAAAGCCTACTGCACTCCAAGGTTCACAACTACTCCATCCTGGATCTGCCTCAGAGAGGCTGAGAGCTGGCAAGGTTCATGCAGATTGAAAACTTCCTTGGGAGTTCAGCACACCCTATAGAAAACTCTGAAGGAGTGAAGTTGTGCTTCAGGAACCCCTGAGCCCAGTTCAAGTAGAATAAACCCTGCCAGCTGGCAACACATTATTCCTGTTTTGCCTCTTCCAGTGATCCCCTGGCTGCTCTCCTCAGCCTCTGTGGCACGGAGGAAATATTACCTTCAAGTCCCTGTGCACGATATCATGCTGGTGAATGTGATTCACACTCTCCAGTATCTGATGAATACAGTGGCTGCAAGATAAAGGGAGAGACACACAGAGTTATGCACGCACACACACACACACATATATACACTTGGCATCTCATTTCATCCCAGAACTATTTCCCTAACTTTTGTATTTCACAGAATCACAGAATCATTAAGGTTGGAAAAGACCGTTAAGATCATCAAGTCCAGCCATCAACCAGGGAGAGTTCAAGACTCCAGGCTGAATCCCTTCATCATGCCCACTGGATGCCACAGCTCAGTACTGTCACAGCTGGACACCCCCAGTCCCCTCAGCAACAGGATGCTAAACAGCCTATCTATAGCAGGACCACAAAGCCTCTCTCTCTCTCCTACCTCCCATCACCTCCTTCCTTTCCTCCTCATCACACTAAGCATCTCACTTGTTCCTTCAGTCAACAGTGCCCACCCCACAGAGGAGGACTGAGGCACCTGAGTATCTGCAAACAGCCACCGAGATGCGGCAAGCAAGACCCAACTGCTCCAGGAAACATTCAGCTGGGCTAGTCCTGAGCAAAGAATAAACTTTCAGAGAGCAGCAGCCTCCCCCAGCAAATTCAGGATGATGACTCCTGGGTGCCTGCCAGTTTGCAAAGCTTTCAGAGCAGCATCTCAAGCACTTTACATACGCAATGTGTGCACACACCCGCTTGCTGGGTGCCTTTTAAGTACAGATCCCACTTAAGGGGTTAGTGGTCTGAAAAGCAGACTCATTCCCTGCTAAGCGCAGTGTGCTGCGCTCCCCCAGCTCACAGAAAAGCCTGTCTCTGCCACTCTCACTGCTGTAACCACAGGGGAAAAAGCAAGATGTTATTTACACCTGTCGCATAAGGACGGCGCAACACACCCATGGGTGAGATTCCTGGTTGAAAACATCTCTTCTGCTAAACGTTTACTTAGTTCCCAAGGGTTAACGTGGAATGGAGTAGGGATTTTGGCAACTATGGCTGGGCAGTAAGCACCCAGATGTGAGCGACTCAGATGGGCCTGTGTCCTCACTGCAGGATTAGTCAACCCCTCACCAAATTCTACAAATCTCAGGGGAACAAATTTGAAATGAGTGAAATATTTGAGGGAAGGGAAATTGGCTACTGGAAAAGATGGGAAGAGGGTGAGGGGAGGAAGAGGAGAGGAGGTGAAGCACAGTGTATTTGTTACTCCCACCCCTCTGGAGCTGGCAGCACAATCCTCAGGGTCGGAATCCATGAATATCTCCCCGCTCCCAAAACAAAAATGTATAATTAGAACAGAGCCGAGTCTGAGCGAGAGAGATTTTCTGGCCAAAAATGGCAAAAGTGTGAGGTGTCCCAGGCGAGCCAAGTGCAGCGGATTGGCACGGACCTCACTCCCTCGCTCTCCCAGTCTGCTCTGGAATTCAGCTCGGCATGGGGAGGGAAAGGGAGGAGTTTCACTCTGTCATCTTGTGGGTACTGTGAGACCTGTCCGGCTGACAGTCAGAGGGCTGCGCACCCTGAGGAAGGCTCACAGAGCAGCAGAGAGTTCTCCTTTTCCCCTAACCCTGCCATAATTTTCCTGAGCAGCGTCAGTCACTGCCAGCTCTTGACCATTTCAGGGAACAGGCATTGGCAAGAGGCACAGGGGGAAGGATGATGATTGATAACCTCAAAACTTCACAACTTCAAGGCAGACGGCTTGAGTGACTGTATATCTGTCCGAGATGGTGTGCCTACAATATCTGTACACCCCACTTAAAACATCTACAGGGCTCTCAGACCTCTCTGCCAGGAGCTCCATCGGAGATGACGAGCCCACTGGCCTTCCCCATCAGCAGACGGCTCACGGTGGAGCATGCAAGTGCAATGCCTCATTTGAAAGCATCGTGCAATGCCCAGAAGACAGAGGCTGTAAGCGTACCACAGGGAAAGCAAATAAGCGCCCGCAGACTCCACAACAGTACCTACACTAACACACCAGGTCATACTCTTCCCTTCCTTGCACTCAGTATGACCTTCCTTGTGTTATTGCCTACCAAGCTCATGCTGCAGCAGCATCCGCTACTGCCTTCTTACCCCTCTTCTCTCATGGCTCCCCTAATTCCTGCTCCAGCAGGGATTAGGATGCAGAAGAACATGGGTGCAAAATAAGCAGAGGTGAAATGTCACCACTGGGCCACTCTCAGGCCCTGCTAAAGCAGAACAGGAGCTGCCTAATCCCAGCTTTGATTCCAAAGGCTGCGTGTCCAGCAGACGGATGGATCAGAGAACACCCTCAGCTACTGCTGCACAAAACACCCCCCTGCGTGAACTGAAAAGGGACAAGCACAGGCCATTTCAGGAAGCTCACACATGGGAGAGAGGAGACACGCTCAGAAAAAGGGCAGAACTCTAAATCCTTTTAATATTAAAATCTAAAGGTGGCTCTCACATATTGAGCCTTTTCTTGCTGCGTTAACCAGCTCAGAGAGGGCTTCCACAGAAACATAGCCTTCAAAGCCCCCTCTCCCCACTGCCCTGTAAACCATTACCCAGACACAGGCACATTGAACGGGTCTGCCCGACAGCAACAGCACATCACTGGAACCCCTACTAGGGAAAGGCAGAGGCCAAGCAGGCAGCGCTCCCACAGCCACAGGACAGCTCTCCCCAGCGTTTGCTCACGAAGGACACCCTGTCACCACCCACCAGAAAGGTCAGGCAGATGAAGCCGCTAGCAACGGGTCTCCGAGCAAAGAGCACACAGACAGCGGCGTCTGCAAGCGGCAAGGGCTAGAGCCGCGGTGAGTCAGGCTGACTGGTGACAATAGTTTATGCTAATAGCAGAAAGAGGAATTGTTTTTTCCAGGCGGGGAGCAAGAGTGTCAGAACAAAGCCGTGCACAGAGCAGCAGTCAGGAAACTCATTCCACTTGCCAACACACGTGGCACATATACAGAAGGGTCTGGAAACAGTCTTACCTGGCATCTGCTTCACTGTAGTATTCTCTGGCAACAATATCCTCAAAGAGCTCCCCACCAGTAACCCTGGAGTGCAAAAGAACAAGGAAGGTTACAGAGTCTGTGCATGTCTAGCTCAAGGCTGCACAGGGCGTACGTGGCCTCCCATCTGGGCCCCTTCCTGCAGCCTGTGTGGGGACCTGCAGCACAGGGGAGCCAGGGCAGAGCTCCACCACCATGGCACCAGCACGGGTACATCCACATGACTGACCCCTTGGACTGCCATTTCACCAGCAGTGTACAGGACACTTGACACACTGGGAATGCTCTACAGAGCTTAGTAGATGCTAAGCTTGGGCAGAACATCCTTCCTCTGACCCTCTCCAGGCTGCCTCAGAGACAAAAGTCAGCCAGCCTCCCCATATGGGATAGCCATCCTTTGCCATCCCATGCTTACACCTGCTGCCAGGAGCCTTCCTGGTCCGTCCCCTACCACACACTCAATGGATTTTTGTCAAATAGGCCAGAGGTATCTACAGAGAGATACCTCTCAAAAGAGAAAGGGAGAATTATATTAATGCAGGTGCTTTTTATTCCACTCTTAGTCAACCATCCACGTGCTTGTATCACTGGAAGCATCAAAGCCAAAGACACTTACAGATCAAAGACGAGGTAATGGAAACCTTCTTCTGAAATACTGTCATGGAGCCGCACTGCAAAAAACATAATCAAGAAATGGAGATTTACAGAGCATGTAGCAAATATGATGCTTCACAAATCAAACCCATGCACACAGCCAAGTTCTCCCTCAGCCCAATCAGTCTATTAATTCCCCATGCCCTCCGTTTTGTGTGCTCACTTAGTGACCTATTTCCTTCCGTTATCTCAAAGGAACAGATGGGTGTCCTTCACATGCACCCACCCCTCCTCAGCGTCAAAACAAACTCTAAGTATCTTTGACCTCCTGTTCGTTCTCCTCCTCTAATGCTTCAGTACCCTGCTTTCACATCTGCCTACTCTTTCCTCCATGCTCACGTTTTGCTATCTCTCCCCACACATTCTTATTTCCCAACACAAACCTTTTTCAGAATCTCCAAACCAAACCCCAACCCAAGAATTTACTTCCAACCCCACCTGCATTTCATTGCCATTGATCTCCCTTCTGTCTTTCATCTATAAAGCTCCACGAAGTTCCCTCCCTTTACTTCCTTTTCCCCACTTCATTCTTACTTACACCCCAACCCTTATTCAAAATTCAGAGACAGTTCCTTGTCCTGTTTTTTCCCCCAACACATTTGTTACCACTGACATATCTGGTCATATTCCCCTTCTCAAAATTTCATTCTCCTTCAGTTTCCTTACCCCCTAGTTTTGCTCCTACTGCCTGAACTAACCATCACCTTTTCCCTTTCCTTGTCCTCTTTAACTTGCAGGACTGGGGCTGCCCCCATGATGGGACACTATCCCCTGGTATTCTGGAGTCTCTGGGGCTCTGTCCTCCTTTCCCCATGTTACACGCAGGCAATAACTGTTGTATCTATGCAGCCAGCACACCGCCATTTCCTCCTGTCTGAATCAAAATCTCAATTTCTTTTATGTTTCTTGGATACCTAGGCACTAATTCTAACCCAAGAGGAGAAAATAACCCCTTAATTTCATATTGATACCTACCCCATACTTTTTGCTTTTCTCCCCTGCTGGAAAACTTCACTATTTTCCCTGCCAGAATCACAAGCTAGCAAACCTATTTGGCTCAATTCCTAAACCTTCACACCCTGACTAGGACGAGCTGTCTTTTTCACATGACTGTTTGGAGTCCTTCCCTATTGATTCACCCAACTAAAGCAACTAGCCGAGACCAGACTGGGTCTCAGTCACTGCAACACCTTGTAATAGAGTATTGACCAAAGTAACGTTACTGTTCCCATTCCCTACAAGAAAAAGCTCGTTATCCTGCTCTGTCACTTAAGGGTACCTTTGCCTCCCTTCCCCATCTTCCATTCTCTTCCACGTAAAATACAGGTGACCTGTCTTGACTTTTCTCAACATCATGGTTTTCTCTCTGCCAGTATCAAGAGGTCAGTTTGCACCTCTTATTGGCGCATGACGTCAGCTACCATCACTGTCTTGGGAAGGTTTCAAACTAGCACTTGGCACGTGCTCCTACCTCATACGGAACAGCTTTTGCAAGCGTTCTTAATGCTCCCCTCCAATCTTCCTTGCAACTCTCCTTTGCTAAGGCACCCTTCCACATGCACACAAACACACACAAACTCAAAATTGAAAGTAGCACAGATGTGCGGAGATCACTGCCAGTACCTCTCCTAAAAGGATTTCATTCTTTCCTTATTCTTTCTGCCTGTACTTCCCTATATTTTTCCTGCCTTTATTTACAAGCTCTCAGGGCTGGTTCCTTTCCTTAGCATTTCTACTGCATCTAACCGCAGGGGTTTGGGAGGAGCACTCCACACGGCATAATGCTGCAAACGAGCAAGTACCAGTACAGCAGGTGTTTCAGGCACAACATGCTGTTCCGACAGCATGAAACAGAGACACATCACCTTTAAGAACAACGTTCCTCAAATCATTTGCTGCAAAAAAAATTTTCTTCCAAGTAAGCAGTTTTAGTTGGCTTTGTAATAACTTCATGGCAATACAACTTTGTGTTTACAAGAAGACTTGCCTCCAGAGCACTTGGCAGAAACCAGCCGAGGCAGCACTGCAAAAATGCAAGCGAGAAGGAGGGTATTTCCTAGGAGAAAAGTTTTCCATTCAAGACTGTAAACAAGATGGGAAGTGGCTGAAACAGACACTTAGATTCCCAATGCAGGGCAGTTTTCACTTCAGTGCACAAGACTACTGTAGGTAAATGCAGGAGACAGGCAGATGAAGAAGACCTGAGGCCCAGGACATGGGCAAAAGTCTGTGAAGAGATCTTATGAAGAGGGAACAGATGGAGAAACTTCAAGGAAAGCTGAATGTGCTAATAAGGTCATGTCTGGTGATGCTCGGTGTGCATGAAAAAGCATTTCCTTCCTTTGGCACCTGAAAGGTCATCGATGCGCTGCAAGAAACCCCAAGCAGAGAGGAGAGCAGCACGAATGAAATCCTGACAGAGGAGGAGCGCAGCCACCAGCAGGCTGAGAGCAGTGGCCAGGAAAAGGGAACAGGAAACACATCTGCAGGTAGAAGTGAGAAACAGCAAACGATGAATTTTGACGCAAAGATGCAGGCAGCAAATTACATCAGAAAATAAAACATAAATGAGGTGATTGGTGCTATTTCTTTGTCCTGAAGAAAGCAATTTTGTCAGATACATTATGAAAAGGGAAGGAAGTAGCAGTTCAGCCGGCAGAGACTGGCAGACGCAGCACAAAGAGCCTTCAAGGACAGTAAAACACTATTTGCATCCTTAGGTGAGGAACCACGACAGGAGGACAGAGACAGTTCATAAATACTGACAACTGTACATCACCCTGGGGCTGCACAGCAAAAGGCAGCCTTGGAGGCAGGACGCAGGTCATTAACTTAACAAGGGAGCCGCTTCCTCACGATGGCCCAGAGCGATGCTGGAACAAAATCTGCCTGGGATTTAATCTGCTGAGGTAACAAAGCTCAGGGAGTAACGGTAGAACAGCAAAACATAGAAAAGCTATAGAAAGGTGACAGTGGGCCCTGCCACCCTGCAAGAGAATAATTAGTAACAGCTCAAAACGTTAGGCTTGAAGCGTGGAGGGGGGGCAGCAATGGAGGGAGTCAAGAAAGATTAAGAGAAGTCTGTATATACCAAAACTCTTGTGACCATCAGTTCCAGCCCACACCCACTTCGTACCAATGCTGATGGGAAGAAACAAAAGCAATACCCAGTAGCAGAGCAGCCAGAGCACCCAGTGCCATTTGACTCATAACATTTTGCTTACCTACCCTCCTGCAGAGCCACAAGAGCCTTCCTGACCAGCAAGGATACTGCAATCAACTGCAATCAACAGCTCTGATGCCATGGTTCACTCTGTGAATGCACAAGCTCTGCTCTCCAATACAGTGCTAACTACCAGGGACTGTCAGCTTAAAAACATGGTCTGCCTTTTCCAAAACTGTTCAGCCTGACCATGAAGTGGCATATATTCAGAAGTAACTCCACCATCTTTAGCTCATGTCAAGGATAAAAACATTTTAAAAATTTCTTGGCCTCGTCTCCATTTTGTTTCATAAATATGATCCACATGGTTGTTAACATTCATCATAAAGATACACAAAGATCAGATACCATCTGATACCTCCACCTCCCAGGCAGTATAGAGGCCTCTCTGCTTGAAAGATGTCCTATGCAAATGCCTTCCACCTGAAGACAGGACACAGGTTCCCAAATGGCCAGTTCCAAGAGTGGGTAACAGGAACCCGAGTACTGGACTGTCCTCTGTTTCAGACATCTTCCCGTGAAAAGGAGATCCCATTTGTTCCACAGGCTGCTGGTCCTGACACACCATCTAACATCTCCATTACTACCACAAGTTCAGCTTCAACCAAGCAGTTGACCAGAGCCCACATAGCCTACTCATACTTGTGTAACCAGTTGACATGAGAGGGTGAAAAACATATTTGTATGTGGACACTGGAGGTAAAGGATTTCCAAAACCTGGCTCTCCATGATAAAAAAAAAGGAGAATTCAAAATAGAAGTATTTATCCAGTTAACTTTTTCTTCAAAAATATTATGGAATCCCTTTTTTTTCCCCGCTCATCAGGGGAGCAGTGACACTCATGTCTAGTGCAGCAGGCTAGACAAATGCACACATCACAAAAAGAGTCTCAAGTCGCAGCAACAGGGAAGTTGCACAACAGCAATACAGGGTCTTCCAAAAGTCAACCAAACTACAAAAGAGTCCAGTACTTGCCAGGCAGCCTGACCTTACTCTATTCACCAGAAGATGAGGTAGAGTATTTCTATTAACTGATGTCGTTGCCCAGAAGCAGCGATTCAAACCGTATTTCCTTCCCAGCCAAACACTCTTAACACAGAGATTCTTACAGATGTAGGAAATCAGTCCCTGCCAACACCATGCACAGCCAGGGTCACCTGATGACTGTTCCCGTGTCAAAGGTCTCTGATGGATGAAAGAGCATTTACTACACTGGTTAGCAAGAACAGACAAGGAGAGGGGAGTAAGAAAGAAAACAGAAGCAAGTCAGACAATGAGGCACTAAATCAGTTACAGGCTATGGCGAAAGACTTCACCCAGGGTTTTAGTCAAAGCACAGAAAAAAAGTCCCATCCACACAAAGAGCAGAGGGCTCGTGGAGTTCACAAGCACGTCTACTTTTGTAAGACTGTCAAGTCTTACAGAGAACTTCAGAAATAATAAATAAAAAACCACAGCACTAGGAAGTAACGCCAGAACAAACGCTATCCAAAGGAGCAGAATCAGTTACAGACTGTTAGGTAGGAACATCTTCTGCAACAATACCAGCTGGTCGGCCAGCAGAAAGTGTGCATCACCACTTGGGTATCTCCAAGCAGCACACACAGATGCTGGGAGAAATAAGCAGTGCTTTCAGTACAGCATCCTGTGTTTTCAGCCAGGCACAAAAAAAGCCCAACTTTCTTCATACACAGTCCTGAATCCAGTACTGTCCCAGCACTCCACAGGGGGTAAAGACAGGCTGCTACCTAAAACTCTCCCTCCAATTCTAAGTGCACACCCAACCTGTAACTC